ATTAGTAACGTGGAGACTGATCAGATGATACATAAACTAAAGTCAGAGAAATCAATTTACCATTGTAGCAACAATAAGCTATGCGTATTTTTCACATTCGGATGGTAAGAGAAATCAAAAAAAAAGCTAAAAGTATTAAACGAGCTTTTTGCCATCAAAGACAGTTTTCCGTCTGAAAAATCATTTTTTCCCAACAAAAACGTTACACGTTCTTCAGTGGTGTTCTATTGTAGTAAGAAATCAAACAAAATATTATATTTTTAAAGCTGATTCTTCTAAAAATGACCATTATCAAATATAGTAAAATTGTTCTAGCTCTAACAAAGAACGAGACTTTGAAGTTAAAATTTCTCTTGTGTAACTATGCACCCAAAAATATTACAAAAGGTTTCAACTCAGTATAATCCTTTATTAACGAAAATATTATGCACATGAAAAGTAGTCATGATTTTCTCATGCTTTCTCTTTGTTGTTTTATCTTTCGACATTGTTTTTCAAAAATAATATACATTAACAATCTCGAAAAAGAAAACGAAATATAATTTACGAACTTCTAGAAAAAATTATTGCCTCAGTTATGTGGTATACTATTATTAGACCACCGTTTTCAAAAATACTTTTTACGAACCGAAATTGGAACCGTTTGTTTTTCATTTTTACTAATCGAAGTCAGAATTGAACCGGCGATTCCGATTCCGGATATTTTTTGAAGCCACTGAGCTCCAGTGCTCATGGATATCTAAAGCCAAGTTATAACCGTTTCAGTGAATCTTCGATCCATTTTTAAGTCTACTTTGGTCGAAAAACAAGGTCTCGAAAGATACAAAAATGCCGACTTATATAAATATTGAGGGTTTGATGTGGGTGAAGAGAAGACTCCAGTACCCTTATCTACATTGACACAAGCATTTGCTAGAGTAAATCTCTGTGACAATCAACTTTTTATTGAAAATTCAATATTTTTGTCGACAAATGAGCATTCTTTACTGTTGAAAATTGCTTCTTGTTGTTCTTTTTATCTTGTATTTTCAAAGTCAAACCGCATACTGAGATAATTTCAATCGTTTAGGTTATGAATTTCAATGTTTCTTTTTTCATTTCCATAACGATGTAATCGATGAAGACCATGTTGTCCATAAAATTAAATTCGATAAGCATTTCAAAAACACATTCAAGAAATATACCTTTCTTTATTTGACAGATCTTTTCTAGGATTTTGTTCAACAAGATTATATGGTAAAAATACTTGATCAATGCATGAATGATTATCATTTTGATTTGTTCAAATTGTAAAATAAGAATCCATCTAGAAATAAATCAATCCTTTTTGTTTAATCAGTACCTTTAAGAAAAGAGAAATTAAAATATTTACATCTGAGCTTTGTTTTTCTTCTTTCTTACCGAAATATTTTTCACTAAAATGATTTGGTGCAACTGTATAAATTTCTGAAAACAAGCAATTGTTATGCCAGAATAAAGTTCACAAATATGTTTAATTTCGTCAGATGTAGAAAATAACGTTATTAAAATCATACTTGATTGTTTAGATTGGTATTCTTTAGTTCATACTTCAAGACCAGTATGAACTGTTGAATCTGTTGTTATGACTGGATAAGCAACAAGAAGACAATGTCGATGAACATCAAATGGTAACTTAGCATATATAGCATGACCTCAATTGATAAAAATTTTACCAATTCTTATGGATCTATGAAATTGCAAATGAGATCTGTCACATATTAAACTATAACTGATATGTTCCGCAACATATGTCAACCAATTCCGTACGGATAAACGTGCAATATGAGTGGATGTTTTGATATCGATTAGAATTTCATTTAGCTAATGATTTTAATGTAATTTTGACAAATAAGAAATGTCAAGAGAGAAAAAGAGAGATTTTAGTGAATTGTATTAGATTGGAAGAACCTCTGAATATGGAAGAATTATCAGAAGAGTAATACATATATAAGAAAGGTATTCAAATTTTTGTACCTCATTACGCACTGAATGACACAAATTGAAGTCAAGAGTTTCATCCACACCCTTATATCAACTTCGTTCTTTTTCATTTGCATCATTGTGGACTAGCTAATGCTTTTATTTTAAATTTATTTTAGAAGTCAAAAAGAAACTAAAACAACTATCTTATGGTTCTAGTCATCAATGTCAGTATTTAAGTTTCTCTTGACTCAACCCAATTCAAAAAAAAACACACTTCATTTCCATGTTGTTTTTATATTAAAATCAATTTTCTGTGCTTATGTTTAAAAGTAGTGGAAATAAGAACTGAACATCTCCTGCTAATTCTTTCAAAAATTAAGAATATATGAATGACAACAAAGAAAACATATACGAGATAAACAATCACCAATAGTTGTTATCATATATTGTTAACATGGATTAACCCAATTATAACAAGTTTTGTTATATGAAAAAGATTAGAAAAGACACCTTGAACAATTCCATATTCATAGGTACATGATATTGAATAAATTCTGCATTTATTCTTGGTCTGTTTAACGGTAATTTACGAAATTTTGATATGCACAAGACAGTATAATAGCAGTCTGAACTTATGAGAATATTTCTTCTGCCTTCTCCCTTCCTATTTCAATGATTTGTTGTCTATAGATAAGATTTTAGTTCCAATTGAGATTTGACTAAACTATTAAGTATTTAATATGTCTATCATCAGAAGGAAGGAATACCCATGGTTTTCAGCTAACTTGCGGCAGATTCACTAGTTCGATATTTTCCTGACAACTCTGACTAGCTGTAGCTCTGGCCTCTTCGAGATATGAGACTTTCAAGATCTAGACTTTTTTCCATCGATAGTGTATATGAAGCATATATTTTTTGAAGGGTTCATATCTCGGAAAGAGCTTGTTAAAAACTTGAGAACTTTAAGTTTTAACAGTTAAATTTGTAAGACAATCAGAATAAAATTTAAAATCACTTCGGAATGTTATATAATAACATAAAAGTGTATGAAGTTTTGTTTCTACTTTAGTGATCTATAAAAAGAATTCAATGATAGCAAAAAGTAAATTTTCGAAGGAATTCCTTTTAATTTGTTTGGTTGTCCATTAATTGTTACAACAATATTTCGACTTCTAGTGCAATTTCTATGTTCACATAAATACGTTCCTGGTCAAGTACCAAAAACTAAAAGTTCTGATGTAATAGGAATATTAATTGATGAACCGAGTATTGAACATTTTGCGTGTGCCAGCATATAATCTGTACCTTCATCTAAATGTTTATAAGAATTATTTTTCTGTACAAGTTTATTAAGTATTGTTTCCACATCAACACGTACATCAGGTACAGCATTTTCATTCATCAATAATGATACACTTGTATGTTGAATAAAAAATTCATTAAACTAATTTCATTTTGTTTTCTTTCAGATATATATTGTAAAATTTCGTTTGTTATTAAATAAAAATCACTTGTTTTACTGACAATGTTAGAACTTTTTGATGCCATGTTATCTAGAAATTAAAGATAAACTTATAGAATTTTGCCTCGAAAAGAGAACCTTCTTCATACGCACATCAAGATGATCATAATAGTCACATAAAAAAAATTTAAGACTGTTGGAATGATATTCATAAATCATTAAAATAGTTTACAAAGCTCATCGATCAGTAAGAACACGTACAATCGAACCGAAATTAGTAATTGAATGAACTTTTAATAAAAAAAATAAAAAAAAAATAATGTTTTTCGAAATATACTAAAATATTTTTTCATGTCACAATAATAAAGCATTACTTGAATAATCTTTCAGATTTTCAAAATATTTGTGAACATATTTCATTAATGTATCACGCAATGGAACAGGTATGAATTGACAGCATCTGGAATTTCATTTGGTTTTATTTTCATCATTGTTAACAAAGCTATATGAACTGCTTTTTTTCAATAAAAAAAATTATTTGTATTATCGATTGAATTATAAAACAACGAGATGCATTCTATTTTGAAATAGATTAATACGTCTTCCAGTATTTTATATTTTCTCACCAAGAAATTTGCATTAAAATTAATACAAAAGAGATAAATTGATAAAGTATTTCACGTTCTGTTAGTTTCTTAAAAAACGTTTTTGTTATCGATGCTAATCTTTATCTTCAAAATCTGATTTTATTGGGAACAGGCGAAGCACACATGAAAGTGAAATCCTTCAAATTCCATCATATATCACTCATATTTGAATATATTTCGAACCTAGAAAGTTGGGAAGTGTCTCATTTTAAAGAAAATTGTATTCTTTAGAAGTTTATCTTCAAAAAATTCAAATGCGAGTATATTCTCAATAAAATCAGGTTTTGAAGATAAGAGTCAGATTCGACAACAAAAACTTATTTGCAGAAACTGACAGAACGTGAAATTCTCTATCGATTGATCTATTTTTCTCTCACTTTAGTGCAAATCTTTTGCTTAGGAAATGCGAAAAACTGGAAAGCACATAAATCTGTTTTTAGGTGAAAAAAAAAATTTTAATCATGAAAACTGTATATATACCGACTGAGTACCGTCCTATAATACATAATGTAGCCGGTCTCTCATACTATCTATGTCACTATTTGAATCAGGTCTCTACTTTTTAATGTGAAATGAAAGCTGAAAAAAAAAACAAAATCGCTTAAACTTTTGTCGTTGACTGTACTCTACATTTAGAGTCCAGCATCAGACTTTCAGAAGTAATTGATGGTTTTATGTAGGAAGAAAATTTAACCACGAATCCTAATTCATACCAATCTATTAATAAACTTGCTAGAAAAATTATATGTGTTTCTGCTACATCAGTATCAGTTGAATGTGTTTTTTCTCAAAGCAAATTTTTAATGACATCCGATCGTCCAAAATTTTCACAAGTTACAACAATGGACAAAAGTCTTTCCCGCTACCAGATCTCAGCTACCATAGGTTCCCGAGGTCTAAAAGTTTTTATGCATATAATGTATAGAGAATGTAGATCAGAGCCACCAGCTCACTATTAATCATATCGAAGTTCATAAACTCTTGCTAGACTCAGTAATACTTCAACTAATCGAACTCCAACTTTGTGGGAAATCTTTGCCTGTAGTTGAACACTATTGCCTAAAAGTCTCGAAAAAGAACCTACTTCGGAATGGAAACGACATTCCAATAGTCATTACGTTCGTACCGAACATCCGCTACTATTGCCGATAGAAAAACTAAATAAGAAGCAATGTTCGATTTTGAAAGAGACATCATTTTTTTGGATTTATTTTTGTTAAGACCTAATTTTTGATTAAAATGTGCATGATATTAGCATGCGGCACAACTTTCACATTAAAACAATCTTTTTTTGGTATTTAGATAACTAGAAAATAATTTGAGAATTTCTGACAATTAAGAGATATTCATTATCAGCGCAACACAGTTCAGAAGTGAGCTTAACATTTTGAGATGGAAATTTTTCTAGTTTACACCTTGTTTCAGTTCTGAATTGGTGAGTAACTTATTTTTAACCATAATCAGTGTCTTCATTATGATTCGAGGACACTCATTGTATAGTGAAAAGTGCTAGATCACAATTTTGAACTGGAATTTTGATGCCAACTATACATTCTTGGTAGAGTATGCACACACAAATTTCCGGATCTACTGTATGTAAGGAAGTTGAAGTCTTCTTGGGAAGAGTTTGTCTACTACTGTCCGAGTTGCTTTTTAATATCTTTGACGTGCAATAAAACATTAATTTAAATGCTAATAAATATTTTGTCTCCTTGTAAACAAGTTTCTTCTTCATATATTAATTAATGAACAAAAGTATTCTACTTTATAGATTCATAAGTTTCAACAAACAAAAAATTACACCACAGAGACTGTTTGATTAACAAATATCATTAAAAGAAGTAAATATGCTAATTAAAAAAATTTTCAAAGTCAAT